CAATTGAATGGAAACCCCCCAGCAATAATGGAGGTAGCCCTATTATTGGGTATCACCTTGAGCGTAAAGAAAAGAACAGCATCTTATGGACCAAACTTAACAAGCTTCTTATCGCTGACACTCGATTCAAAACAAATGGTCTGGAGGAGGGAATTGAATATGAATATAAAGTGTTTGCTGAAAATATGGCAGGAATCAGTCCATCAAGCAAAGTCTCAGAAAGTGTTGTTGCACGTGATCCCTGTGATCCCCCTGGAACTCCTGAAGCCATTGTTATCACAAGAAACCTAGTAACTCTTCAGTGGGCAAAACCACAGTATGATGGTGGCAGTGCTATTACAGGATACATTATTGAAAGGAAGAAGCTGCCTGAAGGTCGTTGGATGAAGGCCAGCTTTACAAATATTATACACACACAATTTACAATAACTGGATTGGAAGAAGAACAAAGATATGAATTTAGAGTAATTGCCAAAAATGCAGCTGGTAATTTAAGTGTACCCTCTGAAAGCACTGGACCCATTACTGCTCAGGATGAGATTGAAGCTCCATCTGTCTCCATGGATTCAAAATTTAAAGATGTTATCACTGTAAAGGCTGGTGAGTCCTTTTCTATTGATGCAGACATTGCTGGAAAACCTCTTCCTGATATTATGTGGCTTAAGGATGGAAAAGAAATTGACAGTGCTACACCCAGAATGGAGATTAAATCCACCATCACACAAACAGTTTTGACTGTTAAGGACTGCATTAGAGTAGATGGTGGTCATTTCCTCTTAAGTCTCAGTAATGTTGGTGGAACCAAACAGGTACCCATTAGTGTCAAAGTTCTTGATAGACCTGGTCCACCTGATGGCCCTCTGAATGTAACTGGTGTCACAGCAGAAAAATGCTATTTGCACTGGAGCCACCCATCACATGACGGTGGAGCTGGCATTTCTCATTATATTATTGAAAAGAGAGAAACTAGCAGACTGTCATGGACAGTAGTGGAACCTAAAATTCAAGCAATTAGTTACAAAGTCACTAAACTCCTACCTGGTAATGAGTATATATTCAGAGTCATGGCAGTGAACAAGTATGGTATTGGCGAACCACTTGAATCTGA